TCTCTCTCTCTCTCTCTCTCTCTCTCTCTCTCTCTCTCTCTCTCTCTGTCTCCTTACCATTAAGTAACTTGTGCATTGGTTTACTCACTTGTTTTTGACATCCGACTGAACTACAAACAGTGATGTCTGTGAGAAAGGGATATTCGTTCGACAAGCTTGCGCATCTGCGCCACCGCGCGCTCAATTTGTTTATCAGCTCACGCACATCAGCTATAAATGAGTTAATACTGAATGTTTAACATTATATTAATTGCATACATATACTTCGTAGACATCCTTAATATCTAATAACTTCATTCTGCGGTCTGTTGTTCTGTTGTCAGTGTTTCTTTGTCTGAATATGGCACTGATCACATGCTGTGTGGTATCGGCGTTTGGTATCGATGCATTTTAACGAGTACGAGTACAGGAGCTCAGTATCGGCCCGATACCGTATCGGTGCATCCCTAATAATCAACTAAATATTATATAGGCATTTCTATAGAGTATATAGGCATTTTATCAGTCAGACCTCTAGGTGGTAATATACAAATATTGTGTTTATATATTTGTTCATATATTGATTATGTATGGCTCTTTCAGGATCATCACATCTATGACCTGTATGCTTTAGTCAATCACACTGGTTCCCTCAGTGGTGGACACTACTATGCAGATATCAAGTCATTTGATGACCAACAGTGGTATGAATTTAATGACTCTGCAGTTCAAAGGGTAATTTTTTTCTCTTTTTATTAATATAATCATTAAGCCAATTCACTGCTACATGTCCAAAGATCATTGTTTGGACATTCATTAGGTCAAATTTTTATTAAATCTGATTTCAATCTCTGTGAATTTATGAAAGAATTGAGTAATTTATGCCCTTGTGTTTTTGCAGATTCCAAAAACGTATGATGTAAGGTAAGAAACATTATGATGTTACTTTAAACAAACAAAAACAACCTACTTTAATATCTGTACTAGTGTTTTAGTGCATAATTTGAATAATCTTAGAACTGTATCTTTCTGCCATATGGACCTTACTTTGACTGACATACCTCTGATAACTGATTACTCTTAATTGTAATGTAGAAACATTTTCTGTAAAGCTGCTTTGAAACAAGCTGTATTGTGAAAAGCACTATACAAATAAATGTGAATTAAATTTTATTGGCAGCCAGGAACCTGTGCAAATGCACTGTGGCATCATCATTGTAGTATGTCTTTAAATTCTGCATTTATTTTTTACAGGCACATCATCTCTGACATGGCATGTTTGCTTTTCTACAAAAAATGTAAGCAAATTATAAAATAGTGTAATATCCGCTTACATGTATTTCTATATATAATTATTTTTATAGACAAAGCCATTTCTCAAATCTCTCAATCAAGGATCAAGGCAAATGTTATACTTGGAAAATATTGACCTAGACTACATTTTTGCAAAACTCCCAAAACAAACAATTCGATGCAGTTTCTAGCTGAAACCCCAACAATTTTTATTTCTTTACACACAAATTATGATTACAGGGGCAGAAATGTAACCAAAAACTAGGGATGCACCGATACCACTTTTTCCAGTACTCGCCCGATACCGATACTTTTATTTTTGGTACTTGCCGATACCGAGTACCGATACCAATATTTTCATTGCATTTGTACATTTTTTAAATATTGGGTACAGAAACCAAAAGAGTATGTATAATGTTAGTTGGTTAACTTCATTTATCAAATAGATAGTCAAACCAAAATTTATTCAGACACCTTCAACATTTCTCACATTATCACAGTTTATTCGTTATAGTTTAGAAAATTATAATAAAATATGACAAGAACTCAGATTTAAACCGTGTCAGACTAAATTCAGCTTGATAATGTCAGATAACTTTGATAGAAAGGTATGTAATGGATTACAATAAAACAAAAATTATTCATACAGCTGTCGATATTTACACAACTATCAATACTTAGTCGGGTGACCCTTAGCCTTAATGACAGCATATAGTCTCCTGGGCATGCTGTAAACCAGGTTCATGCAAACCTGAACAAACCTGAACTGAATAATTTTTGGTCCCAAATGTGTATCAATTTTACTGGTAGTCCACTGTATGAAGAATTTTTGGGTATAATGAACATCATCTTTAATTTAATAGCATTAGAGCTGCTCCATTGCAGCGGCTTAGTTCTGTAATCATGCTATTTGCTGTAAAAATGCAGGGATCCACTCGCTATAAATCTCCTAACTGTGATATTTTCATAAATAGAAGTCGTATTTTTTTCATCTGAAACGTGCAGCGATTTATTTTCCAAAGCCACTCATATAATGCAGAAACACTCAAGCAAGCAAAACACGC